TATTTCTCACAGTTCTGCAGGCTGGGAAATTCAAGGTCATGGAGTTGGCCCATTTGGCTCCGGATGAGAGCTCTCTTAGCTTCCTTCTTGCTGTTTCCTCACAAAGCAGAGAGAAAGCTCATCTCTCTCCTGCTCTTCTTTTAAGGGCACTAATTCCATTCAATTTGGCTCCACCCTTATGACTTAATCACTTCCCAAAGGCCCCCCCTCCAAATACCATCACATAAAGGATTAGGGAGGAAACAAAGATTCAGTCCTTAGTACTCCAGGACCCTGAAAGGCCTCCCCATGGCTGAAGTTCATTGAAAGCCAGCTGACACAAAGCCTGGGAAACAGCCAATGGAGATCAGCCCTCTGAAATGCACAGCCCAGAACAGGGAAAGAAGAAGAAAGGAGTGGATGGAAAATGGACCAAAGGCTAGCATAAGGCCTTAAGGGAAGAGTATATTTGTCATTATAAATGCCAAGGAATAGCAAAAATAACAAAACCAGAAGACTTGGTTGACAAGCTATTACCCTTCATGCTTCCCAGTTTGGGTTGCACATTAGAATCACCCGAGAAGGTTTCTAAAATCCCCTGCCAGGCTGCACTCCAGACCAATTACATCAGAATCTCTAGGGCTGGGACCGAAGCATGAATATATATTTTTAAAACTTCCCAGGAGATACCAATATGCAGCCAATGTTAAGAAAAAAAACTATTTTAGAAAAAGAGATGAGGCAGATGATAGTTTATATATCTTACTATTAGGAATTATTATAGAGGGCCTCCTTTTTCTATGAGCCTGGTATGACAGTAGAAAAATAACTGGAATAAGAGAGGAAAAGAAGGAAATAAGCAGGACAAACAAGGAAACTTCACCAATGGGTTTGTTTTTATGGTGAATGTAACATTTTTTTATGTTTAAAATATATTTTTGTTGGTTTCAGAGTAAGGGAGAAATAGAAACATCAATGATGAGAGAGACTCATTGATTGGCTGCCTCCTCCCGCACACCTCTCACTGGGGATCGAGCCCGGAACCTGGGCATGTGCCCTGAGTGGGAATCAAACCTTGACTCCTGGTTCATAGGTTGACCACTGAGCCATGCAGGTTGGGAGTGAATGTAACATTTAGAAAGATGTATAAAAGAAAAACCAAGTGTTGAGTTGGCTGGCCATCATAATCAGGGTGGCAATTCAAAGGAAGTGTCTGACTAAGGGAAAGAAAATCATCAGTGTTAGGAAGTGGAAACAAGAGAAGTTAAGGTAATAAAACCAAAAGAAATTAGATCAGCTAGACATTGCAGACAGAGCCACAAAACAAGAAAAGAGGCAGAACTGGAGAGAGTGTTGCCCTCTTTTGACCATAAAAATGAGAGGATCCCAGAGCATAATAGAAAACTTAGAAGTGAGGTCCCATTAATAGACACACTATTTGTGCTGCTTCTGGTTGCCCAGGAAACAGGAATCTCTCCCTCATTCTGACAGTATAATGAGTAAAACCACATGCAAATAACATGCAAATATAGTCATGAATCATTAGCGGTAAAGTCATACCTGGTCCAGGGAGCTTCCTTAGGGAAAGACTAGATAGGAACTGCGGTGGGATTTATGTGAGAGGTTGCAAGAAAATGGATTTTTTTACATGTGAAAGCCAGCAGTTGAAGCCTCTGTTGAATGCTGGGTAATGAGGAATTGAGCAGGCGGCTGCTTTTCCTGTTGTCTCTTGACGCACCGCACGGGCAAGTTCAACTGGGCATGCAGAACCCAGACAGCAGAGGCTTGGCTGGCTGTCCACGCAGGAAGTGAAAACATTGAGTTTTGATGTAGAAGGAAAAATCACAACATACAAAATTCACCCTGCCCTTCTTGAAATATTAAATACCAATTTTTGTTTTGTTCTTACTCAGTTGTCCTGCCTCCCTAGATACTAAAAACTTCTAGTTTTTTATTTAATGCTTTAAGGTTTTAAAAAAATATTGTGAAAGGATTATCTTTACAAATTATCTGTGATATTTGAAGATGCTTTTAAGTACTTTTCACATACTAGGAAAAAAATTTAAATACAGTATTTTACTTTTTAAAGTTTCTATTTTAGCGATTAAAGCAGAATTAAAGTGCTTTTATATGTTTTATAGAGTGTTTCTCAAACTTTCTTGTGCAGAAGGATAACCTGGGGATCTTGTTATAGATTCTGCATTTCTAACCAACTCCCCGGTAATTCTGTTGCTGTTGGTGTAAGGACCTCACTTTGAGGGGCAAGATTTCAATTCATTAATAGTAGTTACCAGGAAATATAAATGGTAATTTGGTAGCTAATTGTTGGCCAAATATCATATTTTTGTTTCACGAACTTTTTTCCACTAGTGGAAACAATTTTTTTGTCAGATTTTCCCTTTGTAAATTACACAGTAATGCATAGTTATAAAAATTCATGTCCTAACTGGTTTGGCTCAGTGAATAGAGCGTCGGCCTGGGGACTGAAGAGTCCCAGGTTCAATTCCGGTCAAGGGCACATGCCCAGGTTGTGGGCTTGATCCCCAGTGGGAGGCGTGCAGGAGGCAGTCAACTGATGATTCTCTCAACATCATTGATGTTTCTATCTCTCTTTCCTTCTCCTTTTCTCCCTAAAATCAATTAAAAAATCACTAATTACAGATATGGATGGAGTAAAAGACCTGAAATCAATAAAAAAATCACTAATTACAGATATGGATGGAGTAAAAGAAAAATCTATTTTTATTCTCCACCCTTCTATTCCCTCAGTCTCTCTCCTTTGTAGATAATAAATACTTTGTAGATAATAAACTATTTGTCTATACAAATAAAAATAAATAGGAATAGTATAATGAATACATTGGTATTTATTGATAACTTGTACAATGCCACCACAATGCTACCTAATAAATTTACCCAAAAACTCAGTGGTTTACAATGGCCAGCATTTTGTCCTCATGCTTGGGGTCTCAGGCTGATGGCTATTGCCTCATCTTAAACAGGCTTGGCTGGCAGCTCTGGGTCAGGCTCTGCTCCGAGATAGGAACACCAGCGGGGGGGCTGGGTTCAGGCTTGCTCCACAGTTCATTCTGAGCCTAAGTTGAAGGAGAAGGAGGAGCAGTTACTCGGGATGTGTCCTTTTCAAAGAGAATCACAATTACCAAGAACACCAGCCCAACATTCAGGTTCCTGTGATGTCTGCAAACCTTGTTCAAAGCAAGTTACGTGGCCAAGTCCAGAATCAAAGCTGTTCACTCAGCCCACCCGAAGGCCATGGGAGAAGGGTGTGTTTATAATGCCATTAGAAGAAAATGAAGAATTGTGGTGAGTTTTTAGTCTATGAAGCCTCTCTTCTGTGCTCTGTTCAGTCTTCTATCCTCGGTGAAGTCACTGTGTTCAAGGCAAATTTTCATACATTGTCCTCTGGCTTTTCCACCAGAAAGCACTGGTGGGAAAAAAGAGGGCCAAAACCCATCTCCTCTTTGACTCCACATTGGTGATGGTCCAGAGCAATGACTAACACAAGAGAATAAAAAAATCCCCAATGGTTTCCATGTGTTCCTATCGGAACAGAGCAGAGCAATTGTTATTTAACACAGTTTGGTGAGGTCCTTTGTTTGTAGACCAGATATATAAACATGTTGGTTTCTTTCCCAATTTGTTCTTCAGTCACAGCCAAGGGGATTTTCATTAAGGAAATCTAATGCCGTTTTGTAGGTTTTTGTCTGCAAATTTAAATAAATAATCTCTGTTTCAAAGCTAATTTTAATTGCCTCTAACCCACCGGTTTTCAATTTTCCTAATGCCACGACCTTTAATACAGTTCCTCATGTTGTGGTGACCCCCAACCATAAAATTTTTTTCATTGCTACTTCATAACTGTAATTTTGCTACTGTTATGAATCGTAATGTAAATATCTGATATGCAGGATGTATTTTCATTGTTACAAATTGAACATAATTAAAGCATAGTGATTAATCACAAAAACAATATGTAATTATATATGTGTTTTCCGATGGTCTTAGGCGACCCCTGTGAAAGGGTCGTTCAACCCCCAAAGGGGTCGCGACCCACAGGTTGAGAACCGCTGATCTAGAGGAACTAAGGAATTTTGCTAAGGTTACACAACTTAGCAACAGAGCTGGAACCAGAATGAAAATCTTTGCTGATCCCACCTGTCATCTTTGTTTGCTGATACCTTCTTTTCCTTTTATGACTATCTAACATAAAGGGATTTGTGGCTGCAGGAAGAAAAGCTGGGAGCTAGTGTTGAGGAGATAGGCATACATTTCTTTACTATGATACAGCTCTATGAGCTATAGATTTATTTGGAATGTGTTAAACATAAAGACATCAGAGACAGTGTATAGAATGTGTGTCTTACCAAAGGGGAATTCTGGCAGATCGATAAATCCCTGTTTGCCACAGTCAGGAGTGTGGTAGGCCAAGGGCTGACTCATCAGGTGGGCTTTCAACCCGGCAGCCTGCAGGCCTTCTTTCATGAGCTTCACTGTTTGCAAACTAATTGTGGGGTCGAAATGGCAGTTCACACCAACGATGGAAGCTCCTGCAAGTGGGAAGAACATGTTAGCTTTAGGGATTCACCAGAATACCAGGAGGCCCAACTCTCCTCTCTTAATCAGGTGAATTTGGAAGTATAGCATTTGATCCCTGCTCTCTGCAAATCTATCTTACCTTTATGTAAGAATGATTGCTAACAGGCAGCAAGCACTTTCTGTGAAAAGTTCTTTGAAGAGTCTGGTATAATTGAAGTGTCATTTATGCACACTTGGCTGTCCATCTTTTTTTTTTTTTTAATCATTATTAGAGTTTTTCTTAACTTCAAATTTTAGTAGTCAATTTTTCAATTTTTGACATTAATATTGCGGTGCTGGTCTGTGTTTGAAGCATAGAGGAGGGGAGTTTGGTTCTTGGCAAGGGCAATGCCGCCGATGTCCTGGTGCCCTGGTGTCCTCTGATCTCCAATTCATTTCTTTTTCTGACTACTTCTTGGTCTGAGTTCCCCTTTCTCTGTCCAGAAGGGATGGATATGATTCTGTGCTCATTATTTCCAGAGCAGATAGATTCGCATTAGACGCATGTACCACTAAGAGCTGGTGTCAGTCACTCTCTTGTGCCCCAGATCACCTCCTCTGGCCTGCCTTTTGACAGCAGCCAGCTTGGTGACGGTGTCTCCTGACAGCATCTACTGTCAGGGCAACACCTATCTCTTGCTCTCTGTCCTGGAGCTTCTCTTTTGCCATCTCTTAAGATGCCTATGGAAACCATTCAGCTGTTCTAAAGCATGTACAATTCTGGAAGTGCAAGGTCATGAAGACTCCCTGGGTCAACTCTTGACCAAAGGGAGAAGAAAGCAGATGGGTAATTCTCTTGTTTGTCCTTCGGGTGGACAATTTTGAGGTATATTCTATGCAGCTTTTGAGAGCACCCCCTGGAGGATTGAGCCCCCAGTGCCCACTGTTGTTTAGCTTAATAGCTCTTTCCAGTCTTCCATTCCAGTTGTTTGGGATAGAACTGCCTAAAGTAGACTTCCTGAATACACATACTGTGTCCTGCTCAGCTTCCCGGGGAACCAAGTACTGCTTAGGTCCACATTTCAGAATGGCAAGCTTCCCCTGTTTCTCCTTTTCCCATGGCTCTTCACATACCTGCCCAACCCAATTACTCTTCTGACACTGTCTTTGCCTCAACTTGGCTTCCAATGAACAAAGTGTGGATGCCTAAAAACTAGAGTTTTGCTGCTTATTAACTACTCTTAAGGAATGAACCATTTGTAAAGATATGGACAAATGTTTAGAACCCTAATTTCTGGACTTTCTTATTGAATTTTGAGAACTCTGATAAGCTCATTTCTCAGCTGATGGTTCTTCTTCATTAATTTTCATCTTTCCTGGAAATGTACAGTATTTATACATATGGATTTAGATTCTGTGGGGATTCATTAATTCATAAAATATTTATTACTCTTCATGACATTTGGAAAGTCACTGTTGAGAATACAGAGCAGCTGAGGTGCAGTTGTGAAAATTTAGGGATAATTTGAAGATGAAATAGGGGAAACTTTACAAATAACCAAAGCAAGTAAAATACAGAGTGCAATAAGTGTGACAAGTATTGACAAGGTGTTATGGTGGAGAGAGAAATTACATCCAGTCAAAACTGTAAGATAGCATGACCTGCACGCTGTTCCTCAGTCAGGTAGTGAAGGATGATGCTTCCCCATGGACCACACTGATACCAGCAGAGGCAATGGTCGGCTTTGCCATAATGGCAAAAACGTTCATGTTTGATTGGCTAAGGCATTTTTGAAGAAAAATTTTTCAATTTACTTCTTGAACATTTTGGTGACTCTATATAGTTAAAGCTCCAAACGTATTTCAACAAGTGTTAGTATTCTGCCATTGAATAGCTTGTTTATCCGCTTCATGGTTGAGCTTTTAGTTATAAAATCTATCTTTTCTGAGGTTGTAATGTCATAATATGTGCATTTTTGAAGCATTGCGACTCTTCATGCCTCCTGGATATTTCTCTTGTTTATGAGAATTTCATTGTTATTCATGTGTAGATGGTAGTTTGACCTAGAAAGAACAAAACATTAAAAGTAATGATTACATAATTCATGCCATCCTTAATGAACTATGTATTGTTTTCTAAGAGCCACAGATGTTATATTACTCATAACAGTCTGTTCACATATTAGTTATGTCACACAAATAACATGTTTGTTAGCTTGACACTCTCAAGCAAATTCTGTGTGTTTCTTTAAATTGAAAAGGTTGGTATCGGGGTACGTTATTGATCTTTTGTGTGTGTGTGTGTGTGTGTACCTATAATACGAAGAGCTAAGCTAGTTGAGGTCTAAAACAGTGATGGCGAACCTTTGAGCTTGGCGTGTCAGCATTTTGAAAAACCCTAACTTAACTCTGGTGCCATGTCACATATAGAAATTTTTTAATATTTGCAATCATAGTAAAACAAAGACTTATATTTTTGATATTTATTTTATATATTTAAATGCCATTTAACAAAGAAAAATCAACCCCAAAAATGAGTTCGTGTGTCACCTCTGACACGTGTGTCATAGGTTCGCCATCACTGGTCTAAAACCTTCCTAACAGAGTGTGGGCTTCAAACCAGCAGCATCAACATCACCTACAGGCTTTTAGAAATACAGAATCCTGGGCCCCTACCTAGAACTACTGTCTCAGAATCTACATTTTACCAAGATGTCCAGTGATTCATGAGGATGTTAAAGTTTGAAAAACTCTAATCTACTGTTTTCTACAAGTATAATTCTACAAGTTTCAAGAGCTAATTTTGGCTTTAATTGCAATAATATCTGTCACTTAGGGAACTCTCAAGATGCCTGGTGACTATGGTACTTGGGTTTTAGAAAGTATAAATATATTTGAAATATTAATTTCTAGTAAAGGATTGTTGCTCCTCCTCAAACAAGCTCAGTTATAGGTTTAAAGGATCTTTAATTAAAATAGTACTTTTTCCATGTGCTGATCACTTATGTACTACTGGTTCTCAGGGCAAAGTTTTAGAACCACTTTAATAGTCACTTATTGGATGTATTTCTTGGGGAGCGAAATAACATCTTTGTATTAGCTCAGATTATTCAGTTATGTTCAATACTATTTTTGAATTTTAAGATACTTTTTAAAAATAAATTTTTTCTACCCACCAGATTAAGTAAAGATTGTCATCATTACTCCAGGGGTTGGGAAGGGAAACCAGCCTGATGTAGCATTGGTCAGGATATGAATTGACACGAACTCTTTGGAGGACACATCTACCAACTTTTCAGTGGGTGGCATACATTTGGACAGAAAAATTTCACTTCAGAAATTTACAGCTGCATTTCCATATGCTTATGAAAGAATATGTACTAGAATGTTCACTGAACCTTTTTATATAAACATGAAAACTGGAAATTACCTAGATGTCTATCAACACTAGTAAAAAGATACATTGCTGTTCAAGATATGTAATTAGATTTAGATATTTATACAGATTACAAATACAGATTTAGATAATAGATAGATAGAGATAGAGATAGAGATAGAGATAGAGATAGAGATAGAGATAGAGATAGATATGCATAAAAAGTGCAAGAAAGGATAAACACCAAGCTTTTCACAGTGGCTGCCTCTGAGAAGTGGTATGGTGGGGAAATGGAGGACATTTTACTTTTCAAGTATCTATTGTTTGATTAAAAACCAAACAGAATAAATCTATACTTTAAAAATAATTACTTTAATTGGCTAATACTTAGGGTTGACCAAGCAAAGCCACATACCATTATCATTACTGCAATCCAAAATTGAACATATGAACCTAAGTTTATAATGTGAGTAAATGGTTTGACCTAAAATTTTTTTAAGTTTTTAATTTCGAATACATTTATCTCAACCTTTTAAAGAAAACCTTCTATGGGCTACAGCCCTGGCCCTTGAAGAGCCTATGGTTTCATGGGAGGAGACAGGAGCATAAAGACAGCCACAACATAAAATTAGTGCTGTGCTGAGGGTATGAAGAAAACAGTATGAGCTCATAGCAGTGGTAGAGACTTATTTTGCCTGAGGTCAGCAGGAAAACCTTCATTAAAATGGAGGTATTTTAGTTTGAAACTTGTTTGTAGTTTATCTAGTAGAGAAAAGAGGACACAAATACATAAATAAATGAATAAATAAATAAATAAATATCCTGCCCATGAAAAACTGCCAGGATGAAGGTAGGGAGGAGTGAACACTCATTGTGTGAAAATTGGAGATAGAACACAAATCATGTATTGTTCATCAATGTCAAGCCACTGACAGGCCATATGGTATCTATTTGGCTTGTTTTAAATGTACTTTCGAATAGACAAAGCAAAACAAATTGTATTTCATTCAGCTAACTTGCTTCTTTCTGAATGAGGATCCTACCTTTTCTAATCTGTTGTAGAAGGAACTAACTGGTTTGCATTAGTAACTCTCCTGTTGGTGTGATATGCATGCCCCAAACAGTGAGTACCAGACCACAGAGTGCTCATGCTCAATTGTGTTATTGGGATGTTTTTTCCAAAATAAATTTGAGTAAATGTTGAAAAACAAACAGACAATTTGAATTTTAGAACTACAAGAGATTTTGAGTGACGGCCAATAGGGCACCTGGGGAAGTGTTCTAACAGCTGAAGCTGCAGAGATAACCCGGTGCAGGCCAGCTTGGATGCTCTGAAGGACTCCCTGACCAACCCAGGATCCACTTTCATGTAGGAACATTGCTCTGGGCTGTCCCCTTCTTTGCCTTGGTTTGGCTGCTGACCCCTCGCTAGTCGCCTCTTCCATTAGACTAGACCTCACGGCCCTCCCCTTGCTTCCAGATAAACCTTGCCCAGAATCAGGTCTCTGGGTACTGTCCCCCCACTCTCCACCCACGACCACACCCTCCTGACTCCTTGCTCTCCAACCTGTGCACCCTGTCTGCAGTTGTCCCTCTTATTTTTTGTTTTGTTTTGCCATTTGCATTAATAAAAAATATACAAAATCTCATTTCCCAGTAAGCCCAGAAGATTAAAAATAAAATAAAATATGGATAATACTAGAAAATTCAGATAGTTCAGAAAGAGATGAAATGAAAAGTGAAATTCTCTCTTTCCCCTATAGATCTCTTTCCCCAAAGGGTAAGTATTAAAATTAATTTCTTGTGATGTCCTTCCAGGGAAACTAATGTGTAAATATGCTTTATTCTCTGAGTGGGTGTCAATCTTGTCAATTCTATTTTCCAAGACCACCCTCAGTGTCACCCAAATTCTCAATTTATGTGCAGTTTGAAAAATACTTTCTTTAGGTAGTTTTAAGTTCCTCTCTGTTTTTGGTTACTTGCATTTCAAATTTTAATATTGTGTTTCTCCTTTTTTTTTTATTAAGTTTTTGGTAAGTTACTATTACAGTACTATTTTGCCCCTAGTCACTTGTCTTTCAATTTATTATTATTATTATTATTTTGCTTTAAGCCTTATTTTCTTACATTTTCTTGGGCTTATTTTGTTATTATTTTTTAATGTTTGATCTTCAGTAGTTAATTCTTTTGTTTTCACTCTTTCTTGATAGTTATGTAGGTAGGTAAGGCTGTGTATTTTTCCATGCTTTCAGGTTTTAATGTTTATCGTTTTAATTATAATAACTTTCTAGTTACTCTGCAACTAGAATTTATTACTTCTTTGATCCCAGATATTTTATGGGAGAAAAATGAAAAATTTCTAGGTAGTTGCACTTTTTCTCTTCAATTTTGGTTATTATTTTTTATTTTAATTTTTTTTGTGTGTGTGTATACACATCTAGAATGTTGTCTGTAATATTTCTACTTTTGTTCTAATACATGGAAACATTTTGGTATGTATGAATATATATGAGATTTTGAATATGTGAGATTAAAATATATTCTTTGTTATAAGAATGTAGCATTTATATATTTTTATAACTTTAAGTTCAATTGTTGTTCAGAACTTAAAGTTCTTACACATCAATAATTATTTTTGCTTCCTAGCATTTTTATAGATTATGGTTCTATTTTTTGTTTTATGATGTTTACTGGTTACCATTTTTTGCTATATTGTTTTTTAGGAAAATTTTTGCTGTGAATTAGACTTTTCATCTTTATGTGTTTTGTCTCTTTTAAGCTTCTCTTCTCTGATATTAATATCACACTCTCAACTGCATAGTAATATTTTTCTGGTCGGGATTTTTTCGTTCTTTAAAAGTTTACCCTTTTAGTATTCCTTTACTTTATATTATCTATGTTTTATACAATATGTATTTGCTGCAGTTTACCAAATCCATGATAATATTTTTATTCATTTTAACTTTATAAATTGACATTTTTGAGTGACAGTTATATTTGGGTTTCTTTCTGTCATCTTGTCATCTTTTCTGCTTTCAATATTTTGAGTTCAATTCAAACTAATATTCATTTTACTAGGCGTTTTTTGGATTTGGACTTCAATTTGTGGTATAGTCAGTGCTATTTAGAAAAGTTATTTAGCTTCTTCTTTGCCAGTGGCAGAGTCAGACTTATAGTAGCCTCAGGTATAGGACAAAAAAAGGCATTAATTACAGAGGAGTTTCTATGAAAATGTGCTTAAGCCGATGAATTCTACTTAAAATTCTACTCAAAAACCAATGAGAGTTTGAGGAAATCTAGCATGAAAATAGTTATGGTGGAAAAAACAAAATTAAAACAAAAGCAAAAAACATTTAGTTCTAAAAAAGAACAACAATGCATTATCAACATGTGTTAGAGCAGCCCAGAAGTAGTGACTAAGAATACTAAGTAGTTCTGACTGCTCAAAAGTTTATGGGTCAGCTGGTTGGGTCTTCTGGTCTCAGCGGGCTCCCTCATGCATCTGTGGCCAGGTGTGGGTCAGGCAGGCAGCTCTGCTGAACTCAGGTGGGCTCTCTCCTATCTTTGGGGGTCAGCTGGCTGAAGGCTGGTCTAGCATGGCCTCAACTAGGACAGTTGGGCTCCCCTCTGTATGTGCTCTCATCCTCAAGCATTCTGACCAGGGCTTATTCCCAAGGTGCTGGCAGGA